GAAAACATGTACACCCAGGCTGATCCCAATGGAAGTCCTGTATCAAGGGCCCAGCAATTTGTCTCAGAAGTCGTTATCTCTATTCACCTGATGTTATAACACCCCTTAAAAGATTGTTACATCGATACACTTTCCGCCCCGGGCCCTGCAACGGCGTTCGCCTGTTTAAAAGAGTTTCGATCCATCCTGGCCCACGTGAATGCTTTTAGAAAAGGGTAGGACTGACAAATGGAAAAGAAATGGTGGGGAATGACATGGTAGATTATGGTGGAAATGACAATGGTTGTTATGGTAGGGGGGGGTTGGTTTTTTTTTGTTAGGGGGTGGGGGGAATGACAATTTTTGATTAGGGTAGGATGACAATTTTTGATTTGGAGGAATGACTTTTGTTTGGGGGGTATGGTTAGGAAATGAAAATTTGTTTGATTATGGTGGAATGACAATGTTTGATTATGGTAGGAATGACAATGTTTGATTATGGTAGGAATGACAATGTTTGATTATGGTAGGAATGACAATGTTTGATTATGGTAGGAATGATATTGGCAGATTATGGTAGGAAGAAAGGGTAAATTTTTGGAAGAAATGACAATGGGATTATGGAAGGAAGACAATGGTAGTTTATGGTAGGATATATGGAAATTATGGCGGGAAATTGGTAAGGGTAGTTTTTGGTGGCGTTTTTGGGGTTAGATTTGGTGGAATGAAGGGAAAGTTTAGGGAGGAATGGAAAGGATTTTATGGAGGAACGATTTTGGTAGTTTTATGGTAGGTTGACAATTTCGGAAGTTTTGGTAGGAAGACAATGGTAGATTGGGGAGGAATGTTTCTGGCTATTTTTGGGGTGGTTTTGGGGTTTGGGTTGGGTTGGGGGGTTGGGTTTTTTTGGGTTTGGGGGGGGATTGGTGGTTGGTGGGTGCTTTTGGGGTTTTGGGGGGTGGTTTTCAGGGGGTGGTGGGTTGGTTGGTTAGGGGGGGGTTTTTTGGTTTGGGGGGGGGGGGGGGTGGGTGGTTTTTTGGGGAGGTGGAGGGGGGAAAAAGGGGAGCGAGGAAAAGGAGAGGGGAGAGAGAAAAAGGGGGGGGGGAAAAAAGGGAGGGCAGAGGGGAGAGGAGGAAAAGAGAGGAGGGGAGGGAAAGAGAAGGGGGAGAGAGCGAGAAAGAGAGAGAAAGAGAAGAAAGCGAGAAAAAGAGAAAGAGAGAGGAGAGGGAAAGGGCGAGGGGAAAGGGGGAGGAGAAAAGAAGAGAGAAAGGAGAAGCGAAGAAAGAGAGAAAGAGAGAAGGAAAGAGAAGAGGGAAGGAAGAGAGCGGAGAGAGAGAGAAGAAAAGGAAAGAGAAGGAGAGAGAGGGATATTAGGGGCGAAGAGAGAGGGAGAGAGGGAAAAGGCGAAAAGGAGAGGGAGAGGCCAGAGAGAGTGAGAGGAAGGAGGAGAGCAGAGAGGAGAGAGGGAAAGGAGGTAGAGAGAGAGAGAGAGCGACGGAGAGAAAGCGAAAAGAGAAAGGAGAGAAGAGAAAAAGGAAGGAGGGAGAAAGGAGAGAAAAAGAAGGAAGGAAGAGAAGGAGAGAGCGAGAGAGCGAGCGAAGAGAGACGTAGCGAGAAAGGAGAGAGTAGAGGAGGGGCAAGGAGAGAGAAAGAGCGAGAAAAGAGAGAAGCGAGAGCGAGAGGGGGCGCAAAAAGCGAGCGGAGCGGAAGAGAGAGAAAAGGAAGTAGAGAGGAGAGACAGAGCGACAGCGAGAGGGAATGACAGGGAGAAGGTGAGAATGCGAGATCGGAACGAAGGAGAGAAGAAGAGAGCGCAGCGAGAGACGCGAGATGTCGTAGGCGAAGTAATGGCTCGACGTCTCTCTCTTACTCTCTGCTACTCTCTTCGCCCTCGTCTCTCTCCCTCTCTCTCTCCTCTCTCTCTCCTCTCTCTCCCTCTCTCTCTCTCTCTCTTCTCCTCTCTCTCTCTCTCCCTCTCTCTCTCTCTCTCTCTCTCTCTCCCTCTCTCTCTCTCCCTCTCTCTCTCTCTCTCCACTCTCTCTCTCCCTCTCTCCTCTCTCTCTCTCTCCCTCTCTCTCCTCTCTCTCTCTCTTCCCTCTCTCTCCTCTCTCTCTCTCCCTATCTTCCTCTCTCTCCCCCCTCTTTTCTCCTCTCTCTTCCCTCTCTCTCTCTCTTCTATCCCTCTCTTCTCTTTCCCTCTCTCTCTCCTCTCTCCTCTCTCCTCCTCCTCTCTCCCCTCTCTCTCTTCCCCTCTCCCTCTCTCTCTCTCCTCTCTCTCTCTCTCTCTCTTTTCCCCTCTCTCTCTCTATTCTCTTTTCTCTCTCTCTCTCTCTCTCCTCTTCCCTCTCTCTCTCTCCTCTCTCTCTCTCTCTCTCCTCTCACTCCTCTCTCTCTCTCATCTCTCTCTCTCTCCCTCTCTCCTCTCTCTCTCTCTCTCTCTCCCCCTCTCTCTCTCTCTCCCTCTCTCTCTCCTCTCCTCTCTCTCTCTCTTCTCTCTCTCTCTCTCTCCCCTCTCCTCTTCTCTTTTCCTCTCTCCCCTCTCTCCTCTCTCTCTCTCTCTCTCTCCTCTACTCTCTCTCTCACTCTCTCTCACTCTCACTTTTCTCTCTCTTCTCTCTCTCTCACTCCTCTTCTCTCTCCTCTCTCTCCTCTCCTCCCCTTCTCCCTCTCTCTCTCTCTCTCTCTCTCTCTCCCTCCCTCTCTCTCTCTCTCCTCTCTCTCTCTCTCTCCCCTCTCTCTCCCTCTTCTTCTCTCTCTCACTCTCTCTCTCTCTCACTCTCTCTCCTCTCTCTCTCTCTCTTCTTTTCTCTCTCTCTCTCTTTTCTCTCTCTCTCTCTTTTCTCTCTCTCCCTCTTTTCTCTCTCCCTCTCTTCTCTCTCTCCCTCTCTTCTCTCTCTCTCTCTCTCTCTCTCTCTCTCTCTCTCTCTCTCTCTCTCTCCCTCTCTCTCTCCTCTCTTCACTCTCTCTCTCTCTCACTCTCTCTACTCTCTTCTCTCTCTCTCTCTCCCCTTCTCTCTCTCTCTCTCATCTCTCTCTCTCTCTCACTCATGAACATTATTAAGAATCTTGAAAAAACTTTTCCCTTCATTAACAACGTAAACTCTCACCCCGTCCCCTGTGCCCCTTCCGTTAACCCCTTCCTCTTAATCCCTTCTTTTAACCTCCTCCCCTTAACCCCTTCCCTTTTACCCTTTCCCTTTAACTTCCTCCCTTAAACCCCCTTTCCCCTTAACCCCTCTCATTAACCTCTTCCCCAAACCTCCTCCCCTTAACCCTTTTAACCCCTCCCCCTAACCCCTTCCTCTTAACCCCCTAACATACTAAGCTTTCAGCTTAACTTTCACTGATGCTTTTACCCAGGTGACACCAGCTTAGGATAATCCCCCTCTCCCATTTACCTCCCCCTTCCCCTTAAGGGTAAGGGGGAATCAACCCTTCCCCCTAGTCATCCATTATATATAAGATACAAAGCTCTCTGCGACCCTTACGAGTTTAACGCTTCCCTGTGAATACAGTACATGGATGTACAGGTGAGTACATGTCAATACAATGGAAGGACATGAGAGTACATGGTAGTATATGACAGTGCATGGTAGTACATGACAGTACATGACAGTACATGACAGTACATGACAGTGCATGGCAGTACATGATAGTACAGTACAGGGTAGTACATGCGAGTATATTGGGGTGTATAAATGACTATCAATACAAGGACATAATGTGAAGACTGTAGAACTCTATACAAAAGATGAGGTAATCAGTCCCTCCTCAGTCTTGGAGTACAGATCACCGTAGTCTTCAAGACTACGGTGATCTTCACTAACTCCAACACTGAGGGACTGATTACCTCATCTTTTGTATAGAGTTCTACAGTCTTCACATTATGTCATTGTACTGATAAAGCCACTGGTTGGCGAAACGTCTACAAAGATACCCAGATGATCCACCGTGAGGCCTGGTCACAGACCGGGCCGCGGGGGAGTTGACACCCGAAACTCTCTCCAGGTATGTCTAATTCTTCAAGCTAGAAATGTTGAGCCGTGGGTCTGCGCGCCCCTGACTGTGAACTACAGGTGTTGTTACGACTGTGTTCTTGTTGTTTCTACAGGTGAAGCGACACAACATGCTGAGGGTGGCTGGGGAGTGTACTACTGAACTGCCTCCCAACTCTCACCCCAAGAAGCAGTTCTACGATCTCTACGTCCAGAGGCACACCAATGTTAGGTGAGGAAAGTAGAGACGTGTGTTTGTAGTGGAAGGAAGGCGGGGTAGGGGTCGTCCTGGGAAAGGTTGGAAGGAGGGGGTAAAGGAGGTTTTGTGTGCGAGGGGCTTGGACTTCCAGCAAGCGTGCGTGAGCTTGTTAGATAGGAGGAAGTGGAGACGAATGTTTTTTTATGACGACGTGCTGTTGGAGTGTGAACAAAGTAACATTTATGAAGAGATTCATGGAAACCGGTTAGCCGGACTTTAGTCCTAGAGGTGGGAAGTACAGTGTCTTCACGCTTGTCAGTAGTGCCGCAGGGAAGTGTCCTTGGTCCCCTGCTCTTCCTCATTTACATCAATTATCTTCCAAACGTATCCCAACACCTGAAACCCATTCTCTTTGCTGACAACACGACTTACGTCATCTCCCACCCTAATCTTGCCACCTTCAACACCATTGTCAACGAGGAGCTGCTCAAAATTTTGACTTGGATGACAGCCAATAAACTTACACTTAACACTGACAAAACCTACTACATTATGTTTGGTAGCAGAGCAGGTGTTGCGCAACTTAACATTAAGATCGACAACACTCTAATTGCCAGACACAATGAGGGCAAATTCCTAGGTCTATACCTCGACAACAACCTGAATTTCAGCACCCATTTCCCAAACACATAACAAAAAAAGTATCCAAAACGGTGGGGATCCTCTCCAAGATACGATATTACGTGCCGCAAACTGCCCTTCTCACACTATATCATTCACTTATTTATCCATATCTCACCTATGATATTTGTGCTTGGGGATCAACTGCAGCAACACATCTAAAGCCAATAATAACCCAACAAAAAGCCGCAGTAAGAATAATCACTAAATCCCATCCCTGGCAACCCCCCCCCCCACTCTTCATAGATCTAAACTTACTCCTTGTTCAGAACATCCACACTTACTACTGCGCAATCTACATCAACAGGACCTTAAATCCCAATATTAACCTTGACCTAAAATGCTTTCTTGATAGTTGCGACAGGACCCACAGGCATAACACCAGACACAAACATCTCTATGACATTCCCCGTGTCCGACTAAACCTTTACATAAATTCAATGTGTGTCAAAGGGCCTAAAATCTGGAACACCCTACCTGAAAACACATTCATCACTTTCAAAACTACAGTTAGAAAACATCTTATCTCCCTGATACACCCCGTCAACTAACTACATGTAAACCACCTGGTGGTTCACACTTACACTCACTCACCCATCGACTATAAACACAGAAATACGAATCTTAATCTTAAAATAATGAACCCTAACTAGTCATAAGTTTGCCTATGATACTCCAAAATAGACACTATGTATTGTGCCAAAACAAAAGCATTCACATTGCTAAATTTACAAACCATAATGTAGTCACTAGCCTTAATACCATAATCTGTAATAATTTAAAGTTTAGAATTAATCCAAGTCTGCCCGAAATGCCTAGCCATGCTAGGTGTCCTAGTGGCCCCCTCTGTAATTAGTATTTTAAAACATGTAAACCACACAATATTCAAAATCTGTAAACCCCGCATTGTAATCCTTATAGTGTTACTGTGTATTTGTGTAGTATACTTAGATAAACCCAGCTACATTACAGATAGGCTCCCTTGCGTGAGGTTACGAGTCAGACTCATGTGTACCGTCAGCCACAGGCCTCCATCTCAGTTCAACACTAAAGCTAAGACTAGGCATGACAAAGCTCCTGGGCTTCTCAACTCTCTCAATAATACGCCTACAGACATCCAACGTGTGTATTTCTTACTCCAATATCTCCTCACGAACCCCCAAGACACTCTGAAGGAGGGGTGGAGGTATATTGCAGTTTTTTTTAACTGAAGTGTAGGCGCTCCTCTGGCAAGACGGCCATGGAGTGAATGACAATGAAAGTTTTTCTTCTTTTTTTGGGTCACCTTGCCTTGGTGGGAAAGGGCCGATGTGTTAATAAAATATACAGCAGGGGTGATGAAACTAGTTTTGACAACAGCAAAGTTGAAGAATAAGACACCTGTGCAATATTGAACAAGTGCCATATACCAAGGATATATGACACTTGTAGGGGTATGGTACTCCATTTCTGAACAATTTAAAAAAAAAGTTGTTGTGGCCTGGTGGTTAACGCTCTCGCTTCACACGGTGAGGGCCTGGGTTCGATTCCCAGCCAGAGTAGAAACATTGGACGTGTTTCTTTCCACCTGTTGTCTATGTTCCCCATCAGTAAAATGGGTACCTGGGTGTTAGTCGACTGGTGTGGGTCGCATCCTGGGACACTGACCTAAGGAGGCCTGGTCACAGACCGGGCCGCGGGGGCGTTGACCCCCGGAACTAACTCCAGGTAGATTAGAATAAACTATCAGCTGTTTTGGTTGCTAGCTATCCAGATGTATAGTAAAACCAAGCTATTAACATCCTTTGAAGTCATACTGGTATACCTCATAGGTGGTGATGGTGATGACTTCGACAGTGTGGTGATAGGGGATTGGGGACATTTTGGGCAACCCACTGGGGGTCTGTAATGGTAACAAGTTATCTCTGGTATATAGTACAAACGAATTAGATGAATTCAAGTGCTTGGAAGTTTGTTATTGATCAATACCACTCGTTCGTGGTTACAATATATATTATATATATATATATATATATATATATATATATATATATATATACAAGGAATTCGCAAGAGCAGGCGAAATATACACAAACACTGATCTCTGGCTGAAGGAGACTCGAACCTACGAACCTTGGAACAAGGTACGCAGTGCTATACCATACTCACCACTGGACCAATACCTTGGCGTCCAGCTTGCGCTAGACGTTGATCCAAGGCAGCCAGCTTTCAGGAAGAAGGCTTACAGCTTTGTGTTACAGTGTTTGTGTATATTTCGCCTGCTCTTGCGAATTCCTTGCATTGTTAATATCTCTAGTAAGGCTGATGCATGCAGGGGATGAGATGAAAAGCTGTAAGCCTTCTCCCTGAAAGCTGGCTGCCTTGGATCAACGTCTAGCGCAAGCTGGACTCCAAGGTATTGGTCCAGTGTGGTGAGAATGGTATAGCACTGCGTACCTTGTTCCAAGGTTCGTAGGTTCGAGTCTCCTTCAGCCAGAGATCAGTGTTATATATATATATATATATATATATATATTATATATATTATATATATATATATATTATATATTATTAACATATTGGCTGTCTCCCACCAAGGCAGGGTGGCAGGAATAAAAAAAACTTTCACCATCATTCACTCCATCACTGTCTTGCCAGAGGTGCACTTACACTACAGTTATAAAACTGCAACATTAACACCCCTCCTTCAGAGTGCCGACACTGTACTTCCCATCTCCAGGACTCAAGTCCACCCTGCCTGTTTCTCTGAATCCCTTCATAAATCTTACCTTGCTCACACTCCAACAGCACGTCAAGTCCTAAAACCATTTGTCTCCATTCACTCGTATCAAATACGCTCACGCATGCTTACCCTATTCGGCAATAGGTGCGTTGCTATTTAAGCTAAAATCGCAAATTTTATTTATTTGGCACATTATATACATACTATATATATATATATATATATATATATATATTATATATATATATATATATATTATATATATATATATATATATATTTATATATATATATCCAAAGCTGCTGTCCGAAGTATTCGTGCACAGGCAGCCATGATGCTTCAACCAAACCAGCTTGGCTTTGGGGTCTCTCAAGGAAGTGAAGCAGCGGTTCATGCAACAAGGGCATATATCAACAACCTGCCTGAGGACAATGCAGTGGTAAAATTAGATTTCAAGAATGCGTTCAATCTCCTGAAAAGAGACGTGGTATTAGCAGCAGTACAAGAACATTTCCCTGGTCTCTTCCCTTTTGTTTCAGCTGGGTATAGCAAGGAATCAATGCTTCTCTTTGGAGAGCATGAAATCACATCATCGGAGGGTGTCCAACAAGGAGATCCTCTTGCACCATTTCTCTTCTGTATTGCAGTTAGGGAAATCACAGTCAGACTGACCAGCGAGCTAAACATCTGGGTTCCTAGATGATGGCACACTAGCAGGTACAAAGGAGTCCCTCCTACATGACCTTACACAGGTAATGACACGGGGACAGGAAATGGGTCTCATCCTGAATCCATCCAAATGTGAAATCATCTCAGTCAGTCAACAAGTGATAAATGCAGTGAGATCAAAACTACCAGGAGCAGCAGCAGTCATTGCCCCCACAAATAGTGTCTTGCTAGGAGCACCTCTGGGAAGCAATGCCATTGACACAATTCTCAGGAAGAAATTGGAAGAGTTAAGGAGAATGGAACAACGAATAGGCAATCTGGACACCCACGATGCCTTGTACCTTCTCACAAAGTGCTTGAGTCTGCCCAGGTTGACATATTTCCTAAGATGTGCACCTTCATATGATAACCCTATACTGCACGAATATGACAGTATTCTGAGGCAGATTTTTACGAAAGTACTTAACCTTACTCTAGAAGACGGGCAGTGGAACCAAGCTACACTTCCAGTCAGACTAGGAGGCATTGGTGTCCGCAAGTCATCACAGATTGCGTTACCTGCTTTTCTGTCCTCGTGTATTGCATCCAGAGAGCTTGTAGCAGCGATTCTCCCTGAACATCTTAGGGACAAGATTGGAGCCCAGGACCAAAAATTCCTTGACGGAGCAATGATCTGGGATAATCTAACGGGCTCAGAAACCAGACCTGCTCCCCCCAACAACTACAAACAATCGCACTGGGATGGTCCAATAGTGGAAAATATAGCCTCAACGATGCTTCAGAGTGTGTCAGGGAAGGATAGAGCCCGCCTGCTGGCAGTGAGAGCCCCTCATGCTGGGGACTTTCTGTTGGCTGTTCCCAACTCCAGCCTTGGCACACGCCTCGACCCACAGACCATCCGCATCGGTGTTGCCCTTCGACTTGCCGCCCCTATTCTCGCCGAACACAGGTGTATTTGTGGCAGTGAAGCAGCAGACCGATTCGGGTACCATGGTCTTGTGTGCCGTAAATCCGAGGGAAAGATTGCAAGACATGAGGAGGTTAATAACATTATCAAGAGGAGCCTCACAACAGCTGGATGCCCAGCAGTAAGGGAGCCACCCCAACTATGCAGATCTGATGGCAGCCAGAAGCGTCCAGATGGTATCACCCTTCAAGCCTGGACAGATGGGAAGCAGGTGGTGTGGGACTATACATGTGCATCTACCTTGGCTGATACCTATCTCCAATACACCAGGGAGGAAGGAGGGGCAGCTGCCAGCTTTAGGGAGTCCAAAAGTCTAGAAAATATGGAGAACTTGCCCATCATTATATGTTTGTTCCCATAGGCTCAGAGACCCTTGGCTCATGGGGAAAGAGTGCATCTAATTTCCTTAAGGAGCTGGAAAAAAGACTCATCAGGGTAACTAGGGATCCCAGGGCAGCTAGTTTTCTGTTCCAGCGGCTCAGTGCGGCTGTTCAAAGGGGTAATGCATGCTGCATTTTGGGCACGCGCCCCAGCTCTGAGGAGCTGGATGAGATTTTCGCCTTATAATCGGTGATACACACGTAACAACATGTACCGTATATGCCACCTTTATATCAACAATGTATCTCTTAAATCTTCTGTGCCATATTATGTAATAAAATATTCCTATTGGTAAAAAAAAAAATAGTTTAAAAGATGGGGGTGGTAGGGGAAGTGGAATATTCAAATGGCTTCAGGAAGAAATCCAAATATTCTTCCTTGAAGCCTTTTTATCCACTTCTCCGAGGCTATGGGTCCCACAATTTACACCAGAGGTGGACCCCATCCTATATATATATATATATATTTATATATATATATATATATATATATATATATATATATATATATATATAAGATACTAGTTCACGTCTCTCTTTCTCTCTAACAGCATCTTGTACGCAGATATCGTCAACTTTACACTACTCTCAGAGCAGTTGACTGCCTGTGACCTGGTTATGACCCTCAACGACCTCTTCGGACGCTTTGACCAGATAGCCAAGGTTAGTAGGTCACTCATGTGTGTAATTACCTGGGTGTAAGCAACTGTGTAGTTAGAGCAGTAATGTGATGATCGTAATTACCTACAGTAACAAATCGCTTATAAAGGTGATTACTTCGATCCATATAGCTGAGGATCATTATATCTGGAAAATGAGAGGTGATTACCCCTGGATAATGAGAGGCCATCAGGACTGATCCTTGGATCTTGACCCAAGTTCCTTGAATCGAGATCCCTTTCACTAACATCATACTCACGTCTCGTGAAAGGAACACTTAAGCTTGGAGTCCTGTCTAAAGTGGCCGTCTTCCCTAACTTGGTGAAGCACTCTGTTATCTCCACCTCGTACTTTGTAACACAAACTGATTATTTAACACAAATAAGAATTATAATAATAACAGTAATAACAGAAGTAGTAATAATATCAGAAGTAGTAATAATATAATTTGACAGTAATATTTATAACTAATAATAACAGCAATAATAAAAAATAATGATTCCCGACTACCAGTGCTAACACCTGTCTTTCTGTCTTCCCACACCACTACCAGTGCTAACACCTGTCTTCCTACACTACTACCAGTGCTAACACCTGTCTTCCTGTCTTCCCACACCACTACCAGTGCTAACACCTGTCTTCTCACACCACTACCAGTGCTAACACCTGTCTTCCTGTCTTCCCACACCACTACCAGTGCTAACACCTGTCTTCCCACACCACTACCAGTGCTAACACCTGTCTTCCTGTCTTCCCACACCACTACCAGTGCTAACACCTGTCTTCCTACACCACTACCAGTGCTAACACCTGTCTTCCTGTCTTCCCACACCACTACCAGTGCTAACACCTGTCTTCCTGTCTTCCCACATCACTACCAGTGCTAACACCTGTCTTCCTGTCTTCCCACACCACTACCAGTGCTAACACCTGTCTTCCTGTCTTCCCACACCACTACAGTGCTAACACCTGTCCTCCTACACCACTACCAGTGCTAACACCTGTCTTCCTGTCTTCCCACACCACTACCAGTGCTAATACCTGTCTTCCCACACCACTACCAGTGCTAACACCTGTCTTCCCACACCACTACCAGTGCTAACACCTGTCTTCCTGTCTTCCACACCACTACCAGTGCTAACACCTGTCTTCCTACACCACTACCAGTGCTAACACCTGTCTTCCTGTCTTCCCACACCACTACCAGTGCTAACACCTGTCTTCCTGTCTTCCCACATCACTACCAGTGCTAACACCTGTCTTCCTGTCTTCCCACACCACTACCAGTGCTAACACCTGTCTTCCTGTCTTCCCACACCACTACAGTGCTAACACCTGTCCTCCTACACCACTACCAGTGCTAACACCTGTCTTCCTGTCTTCCCACACCACTACCAGTGCTAATACCTGTCTTCCCACACCACTACCAGTGCTAACACCTGTCTTCTCACACCACTACCAGTGCTAACACCTGTCTTCTCACACCACTACCAGTGCTAACACCTGTCTTCCTGTCTTCCCACACCACTACCAGTGCTAACACCTGTCTTCCCACACCACTACCAGTGCTAACACCTGTCTTCCCACACCACTACCAGTGCTAACACCTGTCTTCCTGTCTTCCCACACCACTACCAGTGCTAACACCTGTCTTCCTGTCTTCCCACACCACTACCAGTTCTAACACCTGTCTTCCTACACCACTACCAGTGCTAACACCTGTCTTCCTACACCACTACCAGTGCTAACACCTGTCTTCCTGTCTTCCCACACCACTACCAGTGCTAACACCTGTCTTCCTGTCTTCCCACATCACTACCAGTGCTAACACCTGTCTTCCTGTCTTCCCACACCACTACCAGTGCTAACACCTGTCTTCCTGTCTTCCCACACCACTACCCGTGCTAAAACCTGTTCTACGCCATTACCAGTGCTAACACCTGTCTTCCCACACCACTACCCGTGCTAAAACCTGTCCTCCCACACCACTACCAGTGCTACCACCTGTCTTCCCACACCACTACCCGTGCTAAAACCTGTCTTCCTGTCTTCCCACACCACTACCCGTGCTAAAACCTGTTCTACGCCACTACCAGTGCTAACACCTTTCTTCCCACACCACTACCCGTGCTAAAACCTGTCCTCCCACACCACTACCAGTGCTACCACCTGTCTTCCCACACCACTACCCGTGCTAAAACCTGTTCTACGCCACTACCAGTGCTAACACCTGTCTTCCCACACCACTACCCGTGCTAAAACCTGTCCTCCCACACCACTACCAGTGCTAACACCTGTCCTCCCATACCACTACCAGTACTAACACCTGTCTTCCCACACCACTACCCGTGCTAACACCTGTTCTACGCCACATCACTACGTGCTAACACCTGTTTCCCACACCACTACCCGTGCTAAAACCTGTTCTCCCACACCACACCAGTGCTAAACCTGTCTCCACCTACGTAATAACAACCGTTCCTAGAACTGCACTACCGTGCTGACACCTGTCTCCACCCACACCGTGCTAAACCTGTCGTCCACACCACTACGTGCTAAACTGTACTCCCAACACTACAGCGTGAGTGACCAGCCTGGGTTGCAACCTGTGGTGCACAGTTCTACATCTGGTGTCAACTGGTTGCGGTGCCAGCTGCATCGTGGTGCCAGTGGTTGCTGGTGCCATCGATGCTGGTGCCAGTGGGTTGCTGGGTGCCAGTGGGTGGCTGGTGCCAGTGGGTGCTGGGTGCCAGTGGTGGCTGGGTATGCTCAGTGGGTTGCGAGTGATTTCCATATATGATAGGCCATGTAGGTAGTCTAGAATGCGCACTGTGGGTTCTTGGTAGGCTATGCTAGTTGAGTTGTGTGCAGTGTGGTGATAGGACTTTGTACAGGACTGTATAAGAACTTTGGTCAGGATCTTGTGGATAGGACTTTGTACAGTAGGATCTTTGTGCAGTGGGTAGAGAACTTTGTCAAGGAACTGTTGTAAGGAACTTTGTACAAGGAACTTTGTACTAGAGAACTTTGTACAAGGATACTTTGTATAGAGAACTTGTAGGCTGTAAGGAACTTTGTACAAGGAACTTTGTAGAGAACTTTGTACAAGGAACTTTGTATAGAGAACTTTGTACAAGGAACTTTGTATAGAGAACTTTGTACAAGCTTGAAGACTTTGTATAGAGAACTTTGTACAAGGAACTTTGTATAGAGAACTTTGTACAAGGAACTTTGTATAGAGAACTTTGTAAGACTTGTAAGGAACTTTGTACAAGGAACTTTGTATAGAGAACTTTGTACAAGGAACTTTGTATAGAGAACTTTGTACAAGGAACTTTGTATAGAGAACTTTGTACAAGGAACTTTGTACAAAGAACTTTGTAGAGAACTTTGTACAAGGAACTTTGTATAGAGAACTTTGTACAAGGAACTTTGTATAGAGAACTTTGTACAAGGAACTTTGTATAGAGAACTTTGTACAAGGAACTTTGTATAGAGAACTTTGTACAAGGACGAAAGACTTGTAAGAGAACTTTGTACAAGGAACTTTGTATAGAGAACTTTGTACAAGGAACTTTGTATAGAGAAACTTTGTAAAGAACTTTGTACAAGAACTTTGTATAGAGAACTTTGTACAAGGAACTTTGTATAGAGAACTTTGTACAAGGAACTTTGTATAGAGAACTTTGTACAAGGAACTTTGTATAGAGAACTTTGTACAAGGAACTTTGTATAGAGAACTTTGTACAAGGAACTTTGTATAGAATTTGTAAAACTTTGTACAAGGAACTTTGTATAAGGAACTTTGTAAGATTGTAGAGAACTTTGTACAAGGAACTTTGTATAGAGAACTTTGTACAAGGAACTTTGTATAGAGAACTTTGTACAAGGAACTTTGTATAGAGAACTTTGTACAAGGAACTTTGTATAGAGAACTTTGTACAAGGAACTTTGTATAGAGAACTTTGTACAAGGAACTTTGTATAGAGAACTTTGTACAAGGAACTTTGTACAAGGAACTTTGTATAGAGAACTTTGTACAAGGAACTTTGTATAGAGAACTTTGTACAAGGAACTTTGTATAGAGAACTTTGTACAAGAACTTGTATGAGAACTTTGTACAGAATGTAAGGAACTTTGTAAAGAACTTTGTACAAGGAACTTTGTATAGAGAACTTTGTACAAGGAACTTTGTATAGAGAACTTTGTACAAGATGTAAAACTTTGTACAAGGAACTTTGTATAGAGAACTTTGTACAAGGAACTTTGTATAGAGAACTTTGTACAAGAACTTTAGGACTTTGTACAAGGAACTTTGTATAGAGAACTTTGTACAAGGAACTTTGTATAGAGAACTTTGTACAAGGAACTTTGTACAAGGAACTTTGTATAGAGAACTTTGTACAAGGAACTTTGTATAGAGAACTTTGTACAAGGAACTTTGTATAGAGAACTTTGTCACAAGGAACTTTGTATAGAGAACTTTGTACAAGGAACTTTGTATAGAGAACTTTGTACAAGGAACTTTGTATAGAGAACTTTGTTAAAGAACTTTGTAAGAGAACTTTGTATAGAGAACTTTGTACAAGGAACTTTGTATAGAGAACTTTGTACAAGGAACTTTGTATAGAGGAACTTTGTACAAGGAACTTTGTATAGAGAACTTTGTACAAGGAACTTTGTATAGAGAACTTTGTACAAGGAACTTTGTATAGAGAACTTTGTACAAGGAACTTTGTATAGAGAAC